CTGTCAAAGCATCGTTCAATAACAACAACTGTATAATTCACAACACACCTGTCAAAGCATCGTTCAATAACAACAACAACTGTATAATGCACAACACATCTGTCAAAGCATCGTTTAATAACAATAAATGTATAATCCACAACACATCTGTCATAAATGTATACATTGATATGTAAATGTGTAAAAATATACATAAAGATATACCGGAATTTATACATATATAATCCAATACATCAATGAAAAATTGTATGCATTAAATTTTAATGGCTTTTATGTAAAGCTATATTGTAAATGTTATCATAAATGCGTCCAAACTCTCTTTTCATAATAATTTCTTTCCAAACCCTCCCTCTATTAATAGGATCGCTGGTGTCAGCCTCGATTTGGCGTACTTATATACCGCTGAACGTGACCTTTCTACTAACTATCGTGACATACTAAGAGTGATTCCTTGGCGTACACATCGATTTCTTACATACCTACTGACTACATTAACAAATATACTGGCTACCTTGATATTTCAGATATCAAACAAATATTCACTGAAAAGGGGAAGAGTTTAAAATATGTAAGGCGAGATATAGGGTCCTGATGATAATTTATTTATTTTCTCAAAAGTTCAACAATAATTTCTGCTACTAACAGATTTAATTAAAATTATGACTGTTTTCATTGCCTCTTATACTTAATATATATATATATATTTTTTTAATTTTGAGTAAGGACTTATATTCAATACCGAATAGGAGAAGACTTAATAGACTAAGCCTGTTGTCTTATCCAATTGTGCAATTTTATGTCCAATAAAATTTGTTGAAATCCAAAGATAAATAGGGTGCGTTGACTCTTCGAGCAGTGAGATGAGCACTGACAGTACTTAAGAGTGTAACTATTAAACATGGTACGTGTATCAATGCACTGATGCACTGAAATATGTAACCCTAAGAGAAATGTAGTCAGGAGAGACATAAACAATGTCAAGAGTACTGCATGGTGTAACGTTCAATTCTCATTGTTATGTAAAAGATGTAGAATTATATACTCATGACTAGCAGAAACACTTTACATAGAACATAAAGTATGCAGAATTTTATACTCAGGACTAGAAGATATACTTTTTACCAAGTACCGCGTATGTAGAATTGTTGTAATAAGGACTAGCAGACAGACTTTAAATATCACTGGTATGGTACATATAACTTTATACTGAAGACTAGTAGACATAAATATATAGCACTGGTAAAATATGTAGAACTATATTGAATACTACATGTATTTGTACTCACGGTGAACAAACGGGTTGTACGCAGGACTATTAAAGTATAACCTATATTTGTACTCACGGTGAACAGACGGGCTGTACGTAAGACTGGCTGAGTATGACCTATACATGTATTTGAACTCAGGGTGTACAAACGGGTTGTACGCAGGGCTATTAAAGTATAACCTATATTTGTACTTACGGTGAACAAACGGGTTGTACGTAGGACTGGTTGAGTATAACTCCCTCGTACGCAAGCTTGTCAATGTTTGGTGTAATCATATCAGGGTTGTGGAATCCTACATCATTCCAGCCTTTTCACAAATGATAAAAAATAATATAAGGGATGTACATGGTTCAGTTAAGATATTTTGAAACATGTTAGTTAGTGTCTAACACGGCTACACACATACACTCATACACATGATGTCATGACAAACGCAGATCTAGCGTTGAAGTCTACTCTTACTAAGTCCAAGTTCTGGTTTTGTATTTAACTGCTGTTGAGGATTTCTTTTCTGGTGAACAATTGACATATATCTGACAACACTTACCGTAATCATCTGCGACCATGAACACGATGTGTGGCTGCTTGGCGTCAGTAATGGTTACAACGAACGCCAGCGTATAAAGAATATACATCGTTAAAGCCCCTTGTATTGATGGAGGCGACACATCCATATCAGTCGTACTGGTCATATTGATCTCTTTCGCTTTGTGTCTTCCGGTATAGTAACTGCCGTAGCATATGTGTACTTTTCCATGTATGTGTGAGTGTTGGCTAGAATGATAAGTTGTGATCATTCAAGCAAACTACGTATTTGCGTCACATATTACCGGTTCACTGTACATGTAGTGCAAATGAGCGGAGGTCAGTAATCTACGGAAGAGGACTAGGGCCAAATGATGTATTTTAATTGCGATTCCACGTGGAACTTGCTCGAAATTTTGAGACACCAAAAGTTTAACGCAAATTAATTTGTCATTTATGAGTTATTTAAGAATATTGGTTACAAATAGCGTTTGTGAAATGCAGATAATGTGCACTTATTTTCTTAGAAATCTCTTCCAGTTTTACAATTTTAAATTGTTTTATACGTTGTATGGAATATGCCTTTATTACTGTTAGTTAAGAGTGGTTTGTTTTTTTCCACAATTTACTCAATGGTTCCAAAATTTAAAAAAAAAAACAAAAAAATGTTATTAAACAAATTAAAAAAATAAAATATGAACTAATGAAACAAAAAAACCTGTTCCTAGGCGTTTATTTATCTGATGAACAAGCTTTTAACTTAATTGAAATAGTAGTATGCGTACATAGAAAAGAAAACTGGGCTTCGGTATCACAAACTTATTTGAGGCCGCCTCAAGCCGGGCTTTGATCCAGAACTCAAGAACTCATGCTCAGCGTATCACAAAATAAAACTCACCTCAAAGGCTAAAGCGGAGGCTGCCCTAGAGCAGATTTAAGTTTGAACTTCAGCTCAGAAACGCACTGCTTGCAATAACAAAATGGCTGGATGTTTTTTAAATAAGGCGGCGGAGGTGTTAGTGTTTTGCTTCATCGAAGCAGCTGCTATGTATATTAAGTGTCACAAAGCGTCACGCCAGAACCGGTGTACTAACAACAAAACAACAACCCACATTAGAGAGCATAGTAAAAACATCAACCTTCATAACATACAAGGAAATATAATTTGTTTTAACATAAGATCATTATGGTGACCATAAAAATGAACGTAATACATTTGTGTTTGCTCGTATAAAGGAAAAGGGGCGGTGCGTTCGTGGTTTATACCAGTCTTATCAGGGATTTATAATAAGTTGTTATATTCGTAATTTTGGATAAATGAACTACGCAAATATGAAATTTCAACTGGTATAGGAGGTATTGCTTCAGAAAGAGAGGTATACAGCCGCATTTTTCAAAATAAACGAATGCATGTCATCTAATGTATATATGAGTGCTATTTATGTTGAACATTTGCCATTTTGGAGAAAATTAAAAAAATATTGTTCAATTTTTGAACGCCTCCGCATGCACCAACCAAATAAATAGTTTGCATGCTTAATCACTGTCATACCAATGGTCATTCGTAGAAACGAATTAAAGGTTGTCACATTCGGAGGCTTTCAGTTCCGCATGCTACTGTATCTGTCCAAAATACTATATTTTGGCTATTTCTGAATTGCAACGCATTTATTTTTTCTATATTGGGGTAGCTAAGCATGCGCAAAGAAATCAATCTGCACGAAGAAAGACGGCCCCGATTAAGCAATTGGATGCATATAAAAGAAATTGATTAATACATTTAAATAGAAAATTTTACTTTTTATGTGGCCAAATGACCCAAAACGCCTGAAGTCCTTTACTTAAATTATAGATACAGTATGCAAAACAAAACAAAAAATGGAAAAACACTGCACTTAACAGCTGTTGCCCATAGCCTTCAAAAACTGCATAAGCATTTTATGTATCACAATAATTAATCATATTTTGATATACCGGTCCTGCTATGATACGTTATCTGAGTAATAGATCAAGCCAGACCTGAAAATTGATCAAATGTTGTTAGCGTAACTGGCGATAGAGGCACCATATGCTACTTCAAACTTGACCTGGGTTTGACCTTTTAACGGTAACTATAACGGTATATTGCTGAAAGCTATACAGTTACATATGATTCACCGGACAGGTAAATTGTAGGACAGGTGCTTCAAACCTACAGCCAGTTGTTCCACTATCGGTGGTTTAGTTTTACAATTGCATACTGTTGGAGTTTTGAAATAATACCCTTTAAGGATTGGAAAAAAAAATCTAGATAATATCAAGAAAGTGTAAAAAGACTCGAATTTCTAGAAAAGATTGGTGAAAAACATAAAGTTATTTTGCAGCATTTTATGTACTTCGCTTAAGACAACGGCTAAATCACAGGTCTAAGGGGTCGTATTGACAAATAAAGACTAACCACCCAAAAAATGAATTTAAAAAAACAGGTGTTTCAATTGGCATAGCGGATTGTTTTCGTCGCTTTTGTGTCCCAAGAAAAGGGCACAAAGGAAACTCGAAAGGTTTTCACGTTTTCCCCCTGGTACGATCAAGCAGAGGGTAAGGCAGGTTTATTCTATTCCAAATCGTAGACCGAGATGTACAACTTACTGTCGTGAGGTGGTGTGAAGTTTTATACCTAGACCTAGAGGTACAGCTAACGTCGTGATGTGATGTCAAGTTTCATACCTAGATGTAGAGATACAGCTAACTGTCGTGATGCGATGTGACGTTTCATACCTAGATGTAGAGATACAGCGAACTGTCGTGATGCGATGTCAAGTTCCATACCTAGATGTAGAGATACAGCTAACTGTCGTGATGTGATGTCAAGTTTCATACCTAGATGTAGAGATACAGCTAACTGTCGTGATGCGATGTGAGGTTTCATACCAAGATGTAGAGATACAGCTAACTGTCGTGATGTGATGTGACGTTTCATACCGAGATGTAGAGATACAGCTAACTGTCGTGATACGATGTAAAGTTTCATACCTAGATGTAGAGATACAGCTAACTGTCGTGATATGATGTAAAGTTTCATACCTAGATGTAGAGATACAGCTAACTGTCGTGATATGATGTAAAGTTTCATATCACAAATGTTTGCTAGGGTCTTAGTATTGAAGACAATATCAGTTAGAGCTATGGCGGAAATAAACTGCATTAAAATACAGTTGAGAATTGCCTGGCAAGGAATGTTGACGATTTACTACATAGCTCTGATATGTTTGGAGACAAACATATTTGAAACGTATTAGAATACTTAATAACTAAAATTACCGATTTCTCCGTTAGGGTAATCAACAACCCTACATATTCCGAGCTCCACAAATGTTCATCAGTTTGAATTGGTGTTCATGCTGTTTTCCTGAATTTAAGTTTTAACCTAAATAGTGAAACTTTCTTATCTCAAAACAACGAAAGTGCATACACATTGAAAGGCTCTCCAGGATCCCCTGCTGCCTAAAATGGGAAGGTAGTCGATTAAAAAAGTATTGGATATGTTTATAGAGTTCGAAATGTTTTCGCGAAATATAAGATCTTTGAAAAATCACAGTGATGAAACAAAACATGAACAGGGGTGACTCCCCTCCGAAAAAACCCAAACCTATAGGATATACCCTTTTTATGCGAAAGATGGGATAAATAAAATGTTCCGAAGAGTTCAGAGCAATCGTTAGTGCTCGATGGCACGGCGTGTTGTAACATGATTAATTTAAGATTAACACCGGTCTGGATTTCGTCATGGTAACGTCAATGTACATGTACTATCCCAGAGATCACGTCAACAATTTGATATGTCTGACTGGGACGCCGTAGCCGAGAATAAGTTTACAAAGTTCACGGTGTGTATGGGGAAGGTCACTCAGGACCCTATAGATACAGTCATGTATGATAAAAACCTGATGCCACAGCAACAGGGCGTTGATCATGACCTGACCGTGCAGGACGTGAGGAGTCTTATTCATTGACCTCAATGAAATGTGTTGACGATTGACAGTGACACACTTAAAAGCCATGGGTTCAATGGGATAATCTTGAAATAAACCTTTTCCTTTTGCGCAGAAATTGTATTGTATTGATTGCAAAGTAAGACAATATTACATATAGAAAGATGCTTATTTCAAACTGGAAAATTTGGGTAATACAAACAAATTCAAAAACAAATTAGCAAAATCAAATTACATGTAAAAACGATGTACTAATGTGACTGATAAGCAAACTGGGAAGTTTTTGCAAAAATGATAGGTACTTTAGGTGGTATATTGTTTCCAATATTAGTCATAATGCAAAACTTTTTGTTTTCATTATACATATTCTATATGTCAGTGTATGTAAATATTCCGACTTTTATTTTAACAGATACACATATGGTAGCAACAATACATTTCTAAAATTCTATAAATATTTTACTTGCGACTGTACATCCTCTGAGCTGTTTAACAAAAGTCACAAACCCTCTATTACAGAGTCAAACAAAATAACAATAGCGAATAGTTAAAAACTATTCAGATTTTATTTAGAAAATACACATCAGAAACTCAAACACATTAACAAGTTTTTAAAGAGTTGATAGAAATACATATAACTACGATATTAACGTCTGTTCAATGAAACAGTCCTTAACAAGTCTACTACATGAAGCTGTTAGGGTGAAATTGTGAAAATATGCAAGTGGTCTTGAGTGATCAAAGTATAGGTTATACTAATAAAAAAGTAATCAAATCCAGGGCAATTTGCACTGTTAAACGAAACAGCCAGGACGCGCAATTATTATTTATTCAATAAATTTGTACGACATTCTTTTAAAGTTATAACTCTTTAGCTAGATTTCGTATGTCAAAATGCCTAGTCAGAATGTCAAAAAAAACACTATTAAAGACTGTTTATCCAAACAGCAACCTGTTGAAACGTTTATTAAAATTAACTACCAGCCTAACAGCTGTGTAGCTGATTGTTTTTTATATTAATATTTTATTGATAGATATAGTCAAATATTTTCAAATATATACAGTAATAAAGTCCTAAACAGTAAGAATTTTGTGATTGTGTATTGATAACAGTTTATTCACCCGACGACAAAACCTACTTGAACATCTGTTTCAAAATATTTACAAATGTGTCTCAGTACACAAAGTTCGCTGTATTTAAAACGAATTATTTTATCACCATATCAATTGCTAGGTAAAATATTTTACATAAAGAATGACATTATTCATCCCACTTATATATAAAAATCTACACGCATGTACATGCATACAAAAACAAATATATGCATACACACATACACGCATGCTCGAACGCTATTATAGGATTCCTCTGTGGGAACTAAGGTCAAAAGGATTTAATGTTTCGATGTCCTTTGTGTTAAATCCTTGATAACGTCACAAATTTACAGCTTTTGGCTTAAACAGATAATGTTGATTTAAATTAAAATCATATTTACAGAAACTAGGCTCAGACAAAATAGGCAGTTGTTTCCCTTTACATGTGGGAAATATATCGATTTCTGATATTTTGTCCTAACATCATGAGGTAATTGAATTGTTCAAAGAAAAACAACATAATATTCACTGTTTTATTAGAAATATTATATATATAGATTTGCATTTCTTTTAGTTTTTACTTTCAATTTGAAACTAGCTTAAACAACAATTTGTAGTGTAATATTATGTACAACCCTCTAAAATTATAGGTGTTACATTCTTCACATGGTTTTAACATTACAGAATACACTACATTTCTACGAACCATATGAAGACATTAAACATAAATCAAACTCTGTACTTGTTCCTACAAATTATACACTCATATATTATAGGACTCATATACATCATAGAGAAAAAATCAATATCACTTTCCATATATTGGTATGTCAAAGTTAACATCCTTTAGAAAT